GAGATGGGTGCCTTACCAGGCACCTAAGCAGCGTAGGTCTTTTTTGTCTGTGGCGGGTCTTGCTGGAACCAGATGGTAGCGTCCTTCGGCGGAGGTCTTTTTCTTTTTGGCTCGGCTCTCCTGGGGCGGTCCCCTATGGCGCGCGGCTGCCCGATGAGTCGCACTGGTCTCTGTCCCGCAAGGCTCCGACCGCGCTTACGTCACCACGCCTCTACGCCGCCCGGCCACGCCTCCACGAGTCGCCTGCTGTCTGCCGCCGAACTGCTGATCCGTTGCCATGTTCTTTCTGCCGGCTCGCCACTCGCTGTTCGCCGCCTCCCCCCGCCACCGCCGCATTGCCATTTAGGGCTTTTGAGCCGCTGGGTGGGCGGGAGCTAGGACAAGGGCCGGGAGCTCACCCCGGCCGCGGTGGGACTCGAACAGCTGTTAAGGCTGTTCGGAGATAGATTACTTGCAGGCATTTACTGCCTGCGCCACCGCTCCTTGACCACCACCACCCTGCCCACTGCAGATGGGAAACTGAGGCTAGCAGACATTGTTTTGCTGGAAAGGTATTGGAAAAAGCCCCCGCTCTTCGTTCGTTACCATTTACCCAGCCGTGTGCGAAGAAAGCAATTCAGATAATGCACAGGTTATATCCTAAAAGTGTGGACGGTTGGAATTGGAAAGAAATACTTTCTCACAGTTTCACTGAGAGCTTCCCTCTTGAAGCTTCACCGCCGTCTTCTTTCCTCTAGTGAGAAAAGGCAGCCGTCGCTGAGAGATAGTTTGGAGTCTTCTTATCTTCCGGGCAGCAAGTGAAAAAGTCAGTTTGCTACGGGCCGATAGCTGTACGGTTGTGCCGTGGATGCTTTGACTTGGAAGAGGCAGATAAACTTTATAAAACTTAGATAAGTCTGAATTAGTGCCAGAGCTCTCTTCCAGCGCGTCCTTCAAAGATTTTGGCGGAACCGGATGCCCACCCCACTCTTAGTTATCCTGGACCCGAACACCTGGGCCTTGTGGCTTGTTTTGGAGAGGAGGGGCAGAACTTCTGGGATTTAGGAGCTGCGGTAGCTCAAGTGGTTAAGACGCTGAACTGCAGGCTGTGGAAGGTCGGTCGTTCCGTATTTCGAGAGCCGACACAGCTGCATGACGGAGTGAGCTCCCGTCTCTGGTTCCAGCTCCTGCCAACCTAGCAGT